AGCCGCCGCCCTTGGTGAAGATGCACTCCTGATTGCCGGCGCAGGCCTTCGTTGCAGAGCAGCCAGTGGACACTTCTGTAGAGGAGTAGTAGTAATTGTTGTAGAAAAGCCAATTTTTGTATGCACCAAAAAACTTACTAATGCAGTAGTCCATTTGTCGCTGGTGTCCCTCCGGACAACCGCACTCCTGGTCAGCCAGACAGACGAGATTGCCCGGACAGTTCAAATCAGAGAGACAGCCGACCGGCTTTCGGCAGATGGTGTACGGGTCGCCGAAGAAGAGCGGTCGACAGTTGCACTCCTTCTGGTGGTTCTTCACCGAGCAGACGGCATTCTGACCACAGCTGTTCTCCAGACAGGCGTTGATGCACTTGCCGTCGATGCAAGCTTTGTCCAGCTCACAGTCGCTATTCTGCAGACAGCCCTCTCGGTACTCGCCTGCACACCCGCCACCGCCGTAAGGATCGCCGCCGAATGGACAGGAGCACTTGTAGCCGCCCGCCTGGTTGGTGCAAGTGGCGCCCACTCCACACAGATTAGGGTTCAGTTCACATTCGTCAATGTCCTTGCAGCTTCCGTCCAGGGTCAGTGCGTAGCCTCGTGGGCAGGTGCAAATGCCAGAGGCAGAGTTGATGCTGTGCAGATTGGTGACGCCAGCCAGGACGACGCACTCCTGATTTGCCGGACAAGGCTGAGTGGAAGAGCAGTTGAGAGATTGAGCTGTAGAAGAAAGCAGTTTTATTAAATTCAAAAAGTCGCTCAAAAACTAGCAGGCATACCAATGCAGAAGGTGGACGTTTGCTGTAGATGCTTCGGACAACCACAGTATTCGCCCAGGCACTTCAGATTTCCAGGACAGTCATTGTCGCTAACACATGAGTCGCCTATTGGAAAGAGAGTTAGAGTTTTTTTGTTTTCACACTCAGATCNACAGTATTCGCCCAGGCACTTCAGATTTCCAGGACAGTCATTGTCGCTAACACATGAGTCGCCTATTGGAAAGAGAGTTAGAGTTTTTTTGTTTTCACACTCAGATCTTCAATCCACTTACGAATAGTGCACTCGACATGCGGATTGCCTCGGTAGCCATTTGGACACTGACATTCAGCACGGTAGTTGTCCGCCTTACAGAGGGCACCCTTGCCGCAAACGCCAGGTTTAGAGCAAATGTCTGTAAAGGGTTTTCAGTAAAGTTGAGGTTTATAAAATCAAACAAAATCATTCAAATCGCATACCATAACACTCCTGCGTGACTGGATTGCACTTCTGGTCAGACTTGCAGTCGGCGTCATGGAAACAGATGGGCAGCGGAGATCGACATCCAAATGGTCCGTAGGGATCGCCAACAAGTGGCATTGGACAGGAGCACTTGAACCAGCCCTCCAAGTTGGTACAGCTGGCGCCCGGGCCACAGGGGACTCGCTCCTGAAGACACTCGTTGATATCTGAAAAACGTTAAAGTGGTATTTTTAGACTAAGGTTTACTAAATACTTAATCAATCTCAAACCTTTGCAAACGTTGTTAGCGCAAACGAAACCATTGCCGCAGTCTTTGTTCTCCTCGCACTGCAGTGTCAGTTTGACGCACTGCTTCAGCGGATCTCCGGTGTATCCAGCCAGACAAGAGCACTGTGCCTCATGACGTTCAGCACGACAGATCGTATTGACGCCGCACATTCCGCCAATGTTGCACGGACTCTGACACTGGCCATTGACGCATGCCTTATCAAAGGGACAGTTGCTGTGCATTCGGCAGCCAGCTGAAAAAGAGTTTTTAGTTGAATGAGCTTTTACTAAACCTTTTAAAAACTCTTACCAATACACTTCTGTTTCAAGCAGATCCTCTCCAAACCACAGTCATCATCTGAGCGACATTCAGGTGGAATTTCTGGAAATTACAAAGGTTAGAGAGCAGCCAATCTTCAAAACTAAAACAAACCTTTGCACTCAATATTCGGATCGCCTCTAAAACCACTTGGGCAGCTGCAGATCGACACGTGATTTGATGGTGTGCAGAGGGTGTTCTTTCCACAGGCTCCACTCTGGCTGCACGGATTGACGCACTTCTCCTTGATGCAGGTCTTGTCGGTGGGACAGTTGAAGGATGATCGACAGCCATCTTTAAAAAAAGAATTGACAAAATTAATAACCAAAATAAACAACCCATCATCAACAACTTACAGATACAACGCTGGCTCTGGCAGACGTGCTCCTGTGGACACTGTGAATCGGAAGTGCACTCAGGTGGTGGGAGGATGCGTTCACACTGCACCCGTGGATCCCCAGTGAAGCCGGGAACGCAGGTGCAGATGCGATCATGATTGAGTGGTTTGCAGAGAGCGTTCAGGCCACAGGCGCCGAAAAGCTGACAAGGGTTCTGGCACTGTTTGTTGAGGCAGGACTCTTCAAAGCGACAGTTGGCGTCATTTCGACAGCCCTCAATGCAGCGGTTGTTCTCGCAGATTTTGCCCAGTGCACAAACCTGGTCCTGTTCGCAGTAGTCGTCGGGAACTGGTGTGTAAAAAACATGTTAAAATTAAAAAATTTGTAAACGAATAATCAAAATCTTACTTGGCTCGCAAAGTTCGAATGGATTTCCGCGATAGTTGTGAATGCACTCGCATCGAGGCTTGTGGTTGAACGGCTGGCAGTTGGCATTCGGACCGCAGCTGTTGGGCAGCAGACAGGGATTCTGACAGGTGCCGTGAATGCAGGTTCGGTCTTCAGGACAGTTGTTATCGTGACGACACCCAGTGACGCACTGCGTGTTCTCGCAAATCTGCCCGAGGATGCACTCACTGTCGCGAAGACACTGCGGCGGCGCCTCCGTGCACAGGACGTTGGGATTGCCCTTGGTGCCCACTGGACAGCTGCACAGTGCCGTGTGGTTGCCGGCCACTCGACAAATGGCATTGCGACCGCAGACGCCAAAGAGGCTGCAGGGGTTCTGGCAGATGCGATTGATGCAGGACTCGTCCAGCGAGCAGCCGGCGCTGTCTCGGCAGCCAATGACGCACTTGGAGTGCTCGCAAATCAGCCGACGACCACACTGCGAGTCTTCCGTGCACTCAATCACCTCGTACAGCGGCCGGCACTCCACCTGCGGGTCGCCGATGAAGCCCGAATGACAGGAGCACACTGGACGGTGGGCGTTCACCGAGCAGACGGCGTGCAGACCACAGGCTGATGTTGATGCCTCACAGGGGTTCACACAGTGTCCGCCGATGCAGGACTCGTCCGGTACGCAGTGGTCATCAGATCGGCAGCCCACGACGCAGGAGTTGAAGTTGCAGATGAGGCCAAAGGGACACTCGTTGTCCGCCTGGCAGTCCGTGGTCTGGATGATCTCCTGGCGGTCGCAGGCGGTGAAGGGGTCGCCGCCCTTGGTCGGGCAGCTGCACAGGGCTCGGTGGTTCTCCGACCGACAGACGGCATTCTGGCCGCAGGCTCGGTAGACGCTGCACGGGTCCTGACACCGCTGGTTGATGCAGGCCATGGTGTAGCTGCAGGTGTCATCGGTTCGACAGGCGTCAATGCACTTGCTGTTCTCGCAAATCTGCCCCGTTCCGCAGTCGATATCCTGCAGACAGACGGGCACCACGGAGACGCTGCAGAGAGTGTTGGCGTCGCCGGTGTAGCCAGGCGGACAGGAGCATCGAGGACGGTGTGCCACTGAGCTGCAGATGGCATTGATGCCGCAGGCCTCAGGGTGGTGACAGGGGTTGACGCACTGCTTCGACAGACAGGTCATATCGTGCGGACAGGTGTCATCGTAGCGACAGCCCACCGTGCAGGCGTTCTCCTCGCAGATCTGTCCCAGCTGACACTGGCTGTCCTTGGTGCACTGCAGCAGCGGCAGAGTGGCAGTCGGTTTGCAGTAGTCAAAGGGGTTGCCCTCAAAACTGGGCGGGCAGCGGCACTGCGGTCGATGGAGCACTGGCTGACACTGGGCGTTGAGACCACAGGGCGTCTGGGCGCTGCAGGGGTTGATGCACTTGCTGTTGTAGCAGGCACGGTCAAAGGTGCAGTCATTGTCAGAGCGACAGCCGCTGATGCACTTGCCCTCGTCGCAGATGTCGCCCGGGTTGCAGGCGTTGTCGTAGAGGCACTGCTTCACCACCTGCACGCAGTAGTGGGCGTCGCAGACCTTCCCCGGACCGCAGTGACTGTCCACGGTGCACTCCACCTCAAGAGTGCCCTTATTCTCCTCGCAGTGAATCTTCGGATCGCCGATGTTGTTTGGCGGACACTGACATTCGGCCTTATGGTTCAGCGACTTGCAGAGGGCGCCGAAGCCACAGGCGCCCGGAACCGTACACGGGTCGGCACACTTTCGGTTGAGACAGGTCTTTTCAAAGGGACAGTTGGCGTCTGATCGGCAGCCAACCAGACAGCGGCTAGAGACGCAAATCTTCGATAGGCCACAGTCCTTGTCAAGATGACACTCCTCCTGCTCCAGTTGACAGCCCACCAGCGGATTGCCCGAGTAGCCCTCTGGACAACGGCACACCGGCTCATGGTTGATCGGCGCACAGTTGGCATTGGCGCCACAGTTCTTCATTGAGCAGGGGTTCTGGCAGAGGCGATTGATGCAGGCCATCTTGAAGGAGCAGTCACTGCTACTGCGACAGCCCTCACTGCAGCGGCCACTCTCGCAGATCTCCGTCGGTCGACATTCATTGTCGGAGACGCAGCCGCTCACAGCGAGGCACTTTCCGCTCTGGCAGACGTAGCCGATTGGACATTCGCTGTTCTTGCTGCATGATGGCAGTTCTAGGCACTCCACTTCAGGATTTCCGGTGAAGTTTGGCGGACAGGTGCATCGGGCTTGGTGGCCAAAAGGCAGACAGAAGGCGTTCAGGCCGCATGCACCGCGGAAGCTGCATGGATTTTGGCATTGCTGTGCCAGACAGGACATATCAAGTGGACAGTCAGGGTCTCGACGACATCCAGCAAAGCACTTGGCCTGGATGCAAATGTGCCCGACAGCGCACTCCTTGTCCGATTGGCACTCACTTCGCTGAATGCATCGGTTGTGCAGGCAAAACTTTTCTGACGAACAGTCTCGATCGTTGGAGCATGGTATCTCCTCCTGAATCTTCTGCCAGCATCGAATGGTCGGGTTGCCCTCGTAGTTGACTGGACAGGAGCACACCGGCTGGTGGCTGACCGCCTGACAGTGGGCTCCTTCGCCGCAGACATCGGTGAACATGCAGGGATTGATGCACTGCAGGCTGATGCAGCTCTCCCCGTCCGGGCAGTTGTTGTCCGCCCGACAGCCTCCTTGGCACTTGTAGTTTTGGCAGATCTGGTTGGCAGGACAGTCCACGTCGACGATGCACTCCATGTGCTTGCAGGCAATACGGGGATTGCCGGTGTACTTGAGCGGACAGGAGCAGAAGGGCTGGTGGTTGACCGCCTTGCAGACGGCGCCCGTTCCGCAGGCTGTCGGACTGGAGCACACGTCCATGCACTTCCGGTTGATGCAGGCGTCAGTGGAGGGACACTCGGCGTCGGAGCGACAGCCGCCGACGCACTGGCCGCCCTCGCAAACGGACCCGCTCGGGCAGATGTCATCATTGGTGCAGATGGTGCTGCACAGGCCGTCGAGGCACTTCTCATTGTCAAAGCACTCGCCGTCGGTGAAGCACTGCTTCCGACAGTACGAGGACTCGCAGCGACGGCCAGTGCCGCAGCTGTTCACCGACACAAGGCCCTGGTCATTGCAGCGGTCCAGCTCGCGAACGCACTCCACGTAGGGATTGCCCAGAGTGCCCTCTCGACAGGAGCAGACACGTTCGTGGGCCTGCACGGAGCAGAGGGCGTTCGTGCCGCAGGCCGTCGAGCTGGAGCAGGGGTCCATGCAGAAGTTGTTGATGCACGTCTCGCTGGAGGCGCAGTCAGAGTCGGAGCGACAGCCCACCGTGCAGATGTTCTGAATGCAGATCTCAGAGGCGGGACACTCGCGGTCCTTGGTGCACTGCACGTGGCAGCGAGCGCCCACGCAGCGCTCATCCACGGCGCAGTCCTTGCTGGCGGAGCACGCCTGACGACAGCGGTTGTTTGTACAGTACAGGCCACTCGAATGTTGACAGTCGGTGTTGGCCGTGCAGCTGATTGACTCGCGCATGCAGCCCACATTGGCCGTCGGTCGGCCGACGAAGGTGTGCGGACAGCTGCAGGTGATGCGGTGGTTGAGCACGGAACACTGGGCGTTCGGGCCACAGGCGGCACTGCCCTCGCACGGGTTGATGCACTGACTGCGCGTGCAGACGAGGTGCTCCGCACACTGCGCATTACTTCGGCAGCCACTCTGGCAGCGGTTGTTGTTGCAGATTTCATGTCCCTGACACTCCTTGTCGGCTCGGCAGAGCAGCACGCAGTGGCCACTGAAGCACTTCTCTCCGATGGCGCAGTCCTTGTCGAAAGAGCACTCTGGCTTGCAGCGACCATCGATGCAGATGTGGTGATCAGGACAGTCCACGGGTGAGAGGCACATTCGCATCAGACGATTGCAGCCCAACTTCGGGTCGCCGCTGAAGCCAGCCGGACAGGTGCACACCGGCTGATGGGCGACCATGGTGCACTGGCCGTTGGCACCACAGGAGGTTGGCGTGTCGCACATGTTCTTGCAGCTGTTCAGTATGCAGGCCTCCTTGTAGGAGCACTCATTGTCACTGCGACAGCCAATCTGACATCGCTGCTGGTGGCAAATCTCCCCCGTCAGGCACTCCTGGTCGGTGGAGCAGGAGAGCAGACAACGTCGGTCGAAGCACTTCTCATTGACTGCGCAGTCCTTGCTGGCGAAGCAGGGTGGGCGGCACTTTCCGGTGTCGC